GAAATCTGGACAGCATAAGGTTTTCACATCAGTCATGATACCTTGGAACAGTTGCCCTGTGGGGGACCCGTCTTTGCGCTTTAGATAGCTTGATTCTAATCATGTATCCCAGGGTAAATTAACAGTTCGATATGGACAATCACCGATTTCTAAAGGCTTTTCCAAACGGCAAACTAATTATAGGTTTTCCACACCTTTTCGTATGTTTACCCTAGTGTGCATACATATATATATATATATTTCACGTATTATAATATATATATATATACGTATATATGTGTGTGTGTAATCATTTACCCTAGTGTGTATCTACATTGTAGAAGCAATATCAAACCACCAAACCACGGGAACATACCTCCATGTCCTTCCAAGCGCAACGGCAACGGCCGGTTGCCATGGTCGCGCCAAGAGGCTCATGGGCCATGGCCGAGGTATCCCAAGTGGCAGTCTTACGATACAACTAATGCAACTATATAATATTATACTATACTATATAATATAATATTATATTATATTATAAAATATATACTCTCATACACTCCTGGTACATCCTCTTTTTTTTTCATGCGCAGTTTGACTTGAAAAAGCGAGTTGTAGCGATTCTTGTTGCGATCCCTTGAGGCCAGTTGGCGGCATTCTTGCCATCCAATTGAGATCATTTTTTGAAGGGAATATCCCCACAAAATATGGCCTTATATGGTACAGTACCTCCATTTTAGGATCCTGAAATTCCCATGGATAATTGAAGGGAACATAGCATGGTTATTTTCGTATCGTTTACCATTGCATTCGTATCTCATTTATGACACCCAAAAAAAAATTGAGTCGGACTGGATCATCCATCCATGGAATTTCCCAAACGTTTCTTACGCTCAAAAAACCAGCCATGTGGCTGATGATCTCTCCATAAACCATGTGCACCAAAAATAGGAAAATGCCATAGGAGCTGACTCCGGATTCACCCACCGCTGACTTACCCTCTGGTTATGACTAACAGTTCGCCATGGTTTGTTGATGGCCCATAGAATTAGATGGTATATAGATGGTTTACCATTCTTAAAAATGGGTGGATCTTTCCATGGCGAACTGTTAAATAACCAGAGGGTATATACTTATATATATATATATATTACCATAAATTATCATATGTTTTAACGAGTTCTGAATGCAATGTTCATATTAATCATCAATAATATCATTCATCCTCCAGAATTCACAATCCATAAACAATTAAATTATATATAACCACTACTACTATGGATGTGAAGCACTAATGGGCAAAATATAATAATTCAATAACCTGAAATAAGACCATATTGGGATGATTCCCCTTACTAACCATTATTCCAGTGAGGTCGCAGTAAGTCGTTATTATTTACACAGACTACGGTGGATGGTTGCGAAATCCTGCACCACCAAAAGGATGGTTGGAACCCCAACAAAATAATGGGATGTTTACCACCATGGCTATGTTAAATAACCAGAGGGTATCATATTTCACTAACCTGAATTGTTGGGCCATGAATGGGGATGATTTCCCACAATCTAACCATGATTCCAAGCTCCGATCCCCCGTCAATTGTCGAGCCAGGTGCACCACCATGGCACTCGTGCCCTGGCCAAGCCTCAGGAGTGTTGGTATTTATCCAATGTTTTAATGGTGTTTTACCCTCTGGTAAATTAACATAGACCCTGGCAGATAGGGGTTGGAAGACTAGCTTCCATTAAAACTAGGCTATTTTCAGGGTCTATGTTTATTTACCAGAGGGTATCCTATGTTTTTATCGGTTTCCGAAGTATTTTTCCCAGAACCAATCCGTAATGGTGATGGAATACGTGTCAGCCGCGCTGCGTGGTAAATTCAAGTGATATGATGATGTATGATACGTGGTATGATCAATGGCCATTTCAGGATCCTGGATTGGAGGTACCTACAGTACCATATACAGTATAATGCCTATGTAAGGGAATATCCCCACAAAATATGGCCTTATATGGTACAGTACCTCCATTTTAGGATCCTGGAATTCCCATTGATATGAAGTAGTAAATATATGTAAATATCATATGATGATCTAGAAATACATACATCATAATACCATCACATATCATAGTAATGATGATGTATGATGATATATGATCTAGAAATGGTTCAGTGGTTCTACTTGTTCTATCTCTGCTTGGTGTAACTATAGACATTGCCGTTGTATACGAGTATGAATGTATGATCTATGTGGTTCACAATGGTGCGTCACCATTAACCCATGGATAAACTCAGTCACTGGGAAGTTCCTGGTTGACTGGGGCATCGAAATTGCAACTGGAGAAGCAGCCATGTCCATGTCCATGGAACTAGTGGCAACGAAATGCGAGCGCGTGAGCCGCACGAGTATTCAAAATCCTTGTTGCATAATCATTGCTACTTAGCATGGTTGGAGAATAACACACATTTGATACCTGGTTGGTGGTTTCAACCCCGAAAAATGTTAGTCAGTTGGGATGATTTTTCCCAATATGGAAAGTCATGAAATTCCATGGTTCCAAACCACCAACCAGAATACCTATTACTATGATAAAGCTGGAACTGCCCACCAAAAAGAGAACCACGGCCCAATCATCTGCAGAAAATATCTCCCAGCCTGGAATTTCTGGCGTTTGACCCCTGGAAAATTTCCACATGTTTCCACATTTTCCGTCCGTTGAGTCGTCTGGAGCCCCTGAGTCGTCGGCTTGCAAATCCTCTCCAAATCTTCTAACCCCAGCACCTATGGACAGATACCCAGGACCGGCCCAAGGTATGGAGCGAGGTTGCCGAAAAATGATGGTTTCATGTGTGATCCTAAATCCATCATGCGATCTTATCAGCTTGGTGGTGCAATAACCATCTTGAAAAATATGAAAGTCAATGGGAAGGATGACATCCCATATATTATGGAAAATAAAACATGGTCCAAACCACCGACCAGTTATCATAATCAAAAAGGCTGAGTCACATATTGTTAATAAACAAACCACAAGCATTGGACAAGCAATGTATGGCAATTGGCCTGCATCGGCAAACTAATATCATACATATTCTAATTCAAAACGATGGTGAAGAACAAAAACAGCACCCCTTAAATTCCGGCCATCAAAAGTTAACCACTTCCTCTCTCTCTCTCTCTCTCCCCACTGCCGTCCCTGTGGGGAGCGAATCCATCCATCTCTCAAATGTTGGGTATCCATTCAGCTCGATGATTTTCCATTGGAAACTGCGAAAAAAAGAACTCCATTTATAGATTATTTCCCCATTAAATCCCTCATTAAAATAGATGGATTCAAAAACATTAATAGAATTTAATATAGAGGGATTTGCCCATTAAATGGAGGGTTTAAACACTAATGACTAATACCCATTATAAACATTAACCTATTAAACATTAATAGATGATTTTCCCATTAAACCCTCCATTTATGATATTTATGACATCATTTCCCAATTGCCAAATAAATAGACCACAAAATCGGCTGCCTCCAAATCCGCACTTGAGGAGCCAGAGGTGAAAGCCTGAGATTCAGAGCCAGCGGGTCACTGGGAATTCACGTTATTAAGCGTGTAATTATGTATATTTTACTACAAACATATATTGGTATCATTTAGTGTATATATATATATTTATCTTCCTGCAAAATGTTCTCCTTCACCAAATATGCCGAGCCTGAAAATTGTTTGAGTCTCAGAGCTATTATCTTGGGAGAAAAATAGATGTATTGTCAAACCCTCAGTTTGCGCTGGGAGATTCATGGTCGCCGGCAGATTTTCCCTTGAAACCTTTCCATTGAAACTGGTGGTTCATCATCCTAAGAACCTGAGCTGAAAATCAGAAATAATGAAACAAACCATCACAAAACCATAAAACGATGGGAACAAGAAGGAAGAGAAGGACAAAAAAACCTGGCGCGAAAGTGCAAGCACAGCAAAGAGCCAAGGTAGGGGGGATTGCACCACGGCAACTGAACCACGCTCTTTTTCAGATACGTGATAGAGAAAGGTCCGCCGTCTTTAACATGACCTTTCATCCGTTGATGGCCGCTCCGTCGGAAGAAATCAAGGGGCAAGGGCACTACAACCATCGTGAATGGCAACATCATCTTCTGGCATGAAATTATTCATGTATGTCATGTGAAACCAACAAGTGGATACCCAAAAATGTCATGATTAAAATAATTTAAATTGATTTGGGCCACGGTCAATATTTGGTATATAGCTCCAAGTCATCAATTTTTGAAGAGTGTATTATCGTTTTTTAGGTTTTGGTATATAAGCAAATGTGATTGTTTTTTGAAGAGTGTATGATCGTTTTTCAAGCCCCAGCTCCATTTCAAAAAAATAAAGATGTCTCGAATACTACTCTACTCTCCATTCACCTAAATTTTGGCTGTAGCTCATTTAGCCAAACAATGTCCTGAAATCCGTGGTTTGCCAGTTGAAAAAAGTGAGGCCATCTTGCCCCATCTTGCACCGCGTTCCTGTCTGGGCCCTTCAAATCCAGGCCTCAATTTGGACCCTGGTTTGACGCCCAACTCAGCTGGAAACCCCAAAAAATGGAGCAAAACCCCTTCAATTGTCCTTGATCTATCTTGATCCACACATGAGAAATCCGTCCTTTCTGAATGCCATTTTGGGGAGTCCAGCAGTTTTGCTGTGGACATCTTGTCTCATAGCATGTACCTCATACTGTACTCGCATCCAAAGATCCCAAGCTGACAAACCCAACAATACACCATCCCCATTTCTTCAAAAGTGGAACCATCTGGTGCGTTTCCGTATTGTTCCCCCTTCACAGTACCGGACATACATACATAAATTACTCAACTACTATCATGCCCATTTGTAGTTGATTTCTCTATTAAAACTGGTGATTTTCCCGTTCGCTATGTTACCTGAGGCTTTCATCCATTGCATATATATATATATATATACTATCACAAATGCTAAACAGTATACATCAGTATACTATCATAAATTGCATCGGAAATCTTCGGATCATTTGTAGTTCAGAATTTGGAGCAGGTTCTGCAACCAGCGCTTTGTGGCTTGGTCCTCCTCCAAGCTCTGGCGGATGCTCTCAGGAAGTCTCTGCAAGGAGGGGTCCGACGCCAGGGCGTCAGGCAGACTTTGTCGCAAGACTTCCTACCGGGACCGTTGAGCCGTTGAGGCAGGGGCAATCAACGGGGTCTCTTGGAAAACAATGGATTTTTGGGTGAGAAATGCATGGTGGTTTTTCATGATGCTAAAGTTGCTAAATTTCAAAAGTCACGAGTTTTAAGGGAAAGTTCACTTTAAAAAAGTGTCCTAATCATCGAAAAAATCACTATCCCAGACTTTCACTCATTTGCTCTTAACTGTTTGTATAATTATCTCAACACCACAGCGGTTTCCCATATGAGTCGCCCAGCTAAGCTTCTGACTGGGCTGGATCTTTCATGTTTCATGCAACTGCCACTTCAGTTTGTTGATAAAGATTGGATTACATGACATGTCAAAAGACCCTGAATCGATTTCATTTCTTGGCCCATTCTGTGTCCCAGGTTGACTTTCGCGACTTTCACAGGGTTTTTTCGGGCCCGTGATGGGGCCCTTTTTTCCCTGAACTCACCTGGACAAAAACGGCCCCAGCTGTTTTGCAGACCTTTCCCTACAAGGATCATCCCACTTGCTAACTGCTTCATAACCCTATAGTTAGTACAAGTAAGTCCCTTAAGTGGGGTTCTCCTTTCTAAAAAGAACACCAAGTGGCTCAAAAAACCCTACCAAAAAACCACCTGGAAATCCTCGGGATCCCCATCTGCCTTGGCCAGTCGGTTGTCACACAAGCGCAGGTAGCAGCGGACCACGTGGCGCAATAAACGGATGGAAGGAAACTCCACCAAGACGTCCACCATCTTGGCCAAGACTTTGGCCACAGCATAGAAGCGTTCCGGGGTCTGACAGACCTGGGTGAAAAGTTTTCGGACAGTCCTAACGGGGATACAAGGGGAATATAAATCGTTGTTATCATTATCATCATCCCTATCATCATTACGAGTATCATATATATATATGGGAATATGATAGACTTGTCATGATTTAAGTGTCAAAAATAATGATTAACAGGAATAATATGGACTTATTATGATTTCACCATCAAAATAGATGAGAATACAATCGACCTCTGATGATTTCACTATCAACAATGATGGGATACAATGGATTTATAATGATTTAACTGATATTAACCATCAAAAAATATGATTATACAATGGGCGTGCGATGATTGTACATATGTGGCGAATAAACAATATATACAACGGACATCTAAAATATATATATATATATCACCAACGTGAGATTTAGGTATATCTCGAAATGTGTATATATATATAACCCCAAAATCATCCCTGAAGAAAATGATGATAGAATTATAAACAATAGGATATTGATTGATTTGCGGTGCTCGATTTTCAGAAAATCGTATTTTTGCAGCCGGAGGAGGAAGCATGGCTTCAACCCATAATTTGGAGGATGGTTTGCTGTTCTATTTGCTAGGGGGGCAAAAAGGTACGTGATAATTATATACATAGTCCTGTTTGCTGAGTAAGTCTCAATCACGCCATTCCCCGCCCCTAGCGACATGGTGTTCATGCACATCACAAGTCATTGAAAATAAGCAACGTCCCTGAAAGTGTCCGTACGTTGCCCTGTATCCAAATGAATCTCCAGCCATCTAACATCATCTAACATAGACTCATAGAATTTCATAGATATTAGAAACAAAATGAAACAAAGAAAAACGCAGTTAAATTACCCTCTGGTGAACTAACATAGGTATTGAAAATGGCCATTTATAGTGAGTTTTCCCATTGAAAATTGTGATTTTCCATAGTTATGTTAGTTTACCAGAGGGTATAGATCATGTTCCGACCTGGACCACCAACATGGTTTCCCGCCACCCCGTTGCGGGTCGGTCGTCCCTGAGCCCCGGCGCCCGGCTGCCGTCGCGGTCAAGGTACAAAGCAGAGGCCTGCCTCGTCCAACAACAACTTCTGCACGATAAATGTGGCCACCGTTTTGGAAAGTTCACTTCCTCAAGTAGGGAAGTGTTGGGAACTTACTTAAAAAGCATGAAAAAGCAGAAAACATAGGTCAACGTCAAACATCGTCAAACAGTCAAACATGTGATTTTTTTTCTCAAATCACGACTTGAGGGACACAAGTGGGGAAAGCTGGCTGTTTCAGCTGCGACCAAACATTTTTGTGCGAAGGATTTGAATGTGAAATGATGTTCGTCTCCCCAAAAAGACAGGTTTGTTGATCCATCACCAAGCGGAGGCGCCTCTCAAAAATCCGGCAAAACAAATATGGAGGCATTGAGCAATTTTCGAAAACAAATAGGGGAGGGGTACATCGCATATCGAGCTGGAACTCGCTGACAGAAGGCAACATGACATCCATTCCTAGCCATGGAAGTAGACCAGCTTCGACTCTTTGGCAATTTCCAGCTGCTCTAGTTCAAAATATCTGTTGGCCTCTGGTAAACTAACATAGCGAACTGGAAAATCACAATCTTTAATAGGTAAATCAACGAACTAAAATGTGCCATTTGCAATAGCCATGTTAGTCATTACCAGATGGCATATAGATTTCCACAGCTTCCCGTAGATGCCATAGATTCCCTAGCTTTTTTTTGGCAACTCCCCTGGAATCTTCACCGAAAACCTGATCCTGGCGCCAGGCAGCCATTCTCCATAATCCTCAAGCACAATGGGACAATCTCTGTGTTGAGCAGGAAATTCGTGACCGACCTGTTTTTCGTTGTTTGCGCGGAACTGAGGCTAATAGGAGAAAACTCAGCATGTTGATTGGATATGCAAATGGATATATCCCTGTTGTATGTAACATATATATATATAATGTGTATATACATGTATATATATATATATAGTATATATATAATTATATATATATATATATATGTGTGTGTGTATGTGTAATGAAAATAACACGTGTATAGATAGGCCCAAACGGTGATCTTCCGACCAGGCTACCCCTATCGCCCTCAGACAGCTAACATGGAACTTCCAAAATGGATTTGGCAATGAAGGCAACTATAGTGTGGTTGGGAAACTCTGTTTGGATCCCCATTTAGATCATTTAGTAGGGAATATGGATACAACCATAGCTGCCATAGCTCCTTAGTTCCCTCCCAACCACCTCAGTTGTCGTCCAAGCATCTGATCATCCACTTTGACCAACGCTCCAATGACTCCCAGGGAAGTGAGCCGCAAGTACTCAAAGGGTCTGTCTGTGCTCGAGGTGTTCCTGGCCGATTTGCTGCGCCACAGCTATAAGCTCTGAAAATTCGGTGAACGAGGCGTTACCCAGTACCCACTTATTTATCAACAAACTAGTAGACATGTCATGTAATACCTCAATAATCCTAGCAGTCTGCCTAGACTGCCTGAAGGTCTTGCAAGCAAGGCGCAGAAATGGAAATAGCAACCTCAATGCTGCGCCAGTGCTGATACCCTCTGAGGAATACAATCTTTGATATGAACATCATCCATCACTGGACATACATATGATATACATATACATATGTATACATATACATATACATATACATATACATATACATATACATATACATATACATATATATATATACATACATATACATCTATACATATACATATATATATACATACATATATATACATATACATATATATATACATATATATACATATACATATATATATATATATACGTATACATACATATATATATATACATAGACATTATATATATACATATAGACATTATATATATATGTATAATACACACATATATATATAGTACATATTAATTTAATATTTATATGCATTATGCATTATCGTGCTGTATATGCATAAATACAGCAACCGCCTTTTTAAGATAGAACATCCTACAGGTGCTTCCACGGCTTCCCAGTAGAACCACCAATGATTCGTGAAACAAATCAAGATGGTTGGCACAACTGCAACAAAAATTTAAATTTATATAACATTATGTTTAATTACCATCAATCATCGCGATTTAAGCTTAAATTATGCAATCATCAAAGGGATTTCATGGGAAAACCAATTTGATATGATACTTGGGTGCGTCAGAAAATGGAGCATACCTCCAAATTTACGGCTGCTTGATGATAATATGGCACTATATGATGCAAAATGATGATTAACCAGTGGATTTGGGGGCACCCTATTTCACGAAGAATCCAATATTGCTTCAAGTTCTACATCACTTTTATGAAGATACAATATCTATCAATATCTAATTATAGATGAGCCTTCAGCTTCATGAAGAATCTATGTTGGCTACCTTGGCATATCGACAGCTATCCTATTTTTCTGAGGCTCTCGTTTTTTTAATGCCTGCAGGCGGAGCCTGCCATAAAATGCTGGCCTTTGGAGGGTTCAGGGGCTCCTTTCCCATTCGAATTCATAGATTTACCCTCTGGTTATTTAACATAGCCATGGAAAATGGCCCATTTATAGATGGTTTACCTATTAAACATGGCGATTTTCCATGGCTATGTTAAATAACCAGAGGGTAAATGGGGATGCCCAAAACTCAGGGTACCCCTAAATCCAATGTTTGATGATGGCAATGCCAATTTTTCGAACAAACGTAGAATGATAAACCATTGCCAATGCGGGGCTCTTTTGATGCGTTCTACCCCCCAAATCGCCGCTGATTGGGTTTGACTGAAAATAGGCTACCCCAAGATGTGATGGTTAATAATCAAGTTCCCCAGCACGATAGCCATTTTCAGGTATCCCCGACTTTCAAACAGACCCATTGGGGGTCTATTGTTAATACCATTCACCCCCATCCCATGTCCCAAATACGCAGAGGTTTTCTAAAATGATCTAACCGCCAAATCATCCAAGTCATCAGACCATGACTTAGGAAACAACAATGTTGACTTGGGTAGATGTTCCATTTCAAGAAACCTTTGTTTTGTGAAAATCCCTTATTTCACATGATTTAGCCATGGTTTCTTGGGGCGTTTGGGGCGTCTTCAAGGGCATAAAACCACGAGGCTGCCGAGTTGCAGCGGAAGTCGAGCCCTCAGGAAGAGGGGCCGCGTGTCGGGATGCGATGCCACACCTGGAGATCTCATTGGCTAAGGGCGAGTTGTTGAACCAATGACCTTGTGGTAATTACACCTTATTGGGTTAATCGATTTGAATGGATCTTAATGGGTTTCAATGGGATCTTTAACAATGACAAACCGCCCAGTTAATGGGATTTCAATGTGGGTAAAACAATGTCATCTGCACCACCCATAACTGGGAATGGTAAGTTGATACCACCTACAAAAATGGTGATTTTCCTGGAGGATATTACACCAATATGTCTACAATCTTCTCTCTCCATGTTTTTTTTTGCTAACTTGCAGGATGAAGTTGGCAAATCTTGGGAAACTCAAAAATCTCCCCGGGGCTCCCCCATGTTCATTTGGAAGGTTGAAAAAAATCTCGATATAGATCCCAGATATGGCTCCGAAGATGCCATAGGATGCCAAAAATTTGCCATCTCAATAGTTCTTGATGGGAAAAACAGAAAAACCTCTGACTCAGAGCATTGTTTCTATCATTGGATTGGTTTTGTTGGGAAAATCTACAGGAAACCATGGTTTTTACCATCAAATCTAGGGCTTTCCTGTAAATTTTCCCATCATCCAATTCTATGTTTCTACAGCTAACCATCAGACAATATCAAATATGCTGCCAGAAGACACTGTAGCAAAGCCAAGGAATTACAGACCCGGTTCGAGGCATTTGGGGTTAGATCCGCAGCATTGGCGTTTGAAGTGAGGTAGGGATAGATCTCAACGATCTCCTGCAGGGACCGGTCGACCCAGGCAGGACGGAAAACCTCGACATTTCACTGGCTTTGGCGTCATCAAGGACCAAAAATAACAGAATTTACTTGATTTAAGAAAAAAGAACATTGGGATTTAGATTGATTTAGTCATCACTGTAAGAATCTAGTTTTCAGGAGGGGATAGCCCACAATCAATGATCTCATGTTGGAGAAATGAAACCAGAAACCTGTGTTTTTTTCCTGAGGTTTGAACGTAAAACTATGGATATCCTGCAAACGGATCCACACTCTTGGAATTCACTTCGTGAGCATCGTCTTACCTAGCACAATGGTTGTGTTGAACGCATATGAATGAAGAGTGCGCGCACACACACACATACACACACAGATATATATATATATATAATATTATAAAATTACCATATAATTTTAAATTAATTCTATATAAACACATGTTAATCGAGGACATAAAAATAGACACTGGAAATGACCCATTTGTAGATTCTATAATTAGATGATTCACCTACAGTAGGCTATTTCTTGGGAGTTGTCCATTTCCAATATGTGTGAGCACCACAACTATGACGGATTTATTGCACTAGGAGAAACCAGTCTCCTGAATCAGCACTGAGATGGTGCCACAGGAATGCCATAAGAGTGGTGCTAAATCATGTACGAACTCTCGTCGCTTGGAAAGCTCAAGGAGGGCATTTTCACCTGAGGACGTGAGCCCTTGCCATGAGCAACGAGTGGTGATGAGTGGTGAGGTTTCAGCCCTTTGATTTACACATGCAATGGTTCTGCGAAAAGGTGATCTAAGTTCAACCCCCTTCTTACACCGTGCAAAAGCAGCCACCCTCCCAATCCTCCCAACTTCTGATCCAAGTGACGCACCACATCACTGTGTTCATCTCCAAGTTGCAGGTCTTCCACATAACCCAGGACCTGTTCATCAATCTGCGTCCCCGGCTGTCCAGGGGGCGGTCCATGTCCATGCTGTCCATGGTGCGGGTGTCCGGGATGCCCTTGGGGGTGTCCCCCATGGCCCAGGTGCGGCACGTTGTTCACGGGGCGGCCATAGCCATGCGCATGGTGGCCGTGAGCGCCGTGAGCCACACCCGGTGCTGGGCCGTGGGGATAGTAATCCATCGAGGGTTAGCAGGATTAGCCGGATCGGCCGGAGCGAAAAGTCTGAGCCGAGCAGCTAAACCAGCTGAGGATGAAGAATTCTCATGAATTTTGTGGCCATCTGCCAAGGGGGATGAAAAGCTCGGGGAGCTCTGCTGAAACCGTGCACTGGTGGATTGCTATATAGTTGGGTTTGACAAGAATTGCTCAATATATTCCATACATTCAATATATTCATATATATTGTATGATGCTGAGATGCATTTTCGAGTCATGCCGTTGAAATTTTCAACACACACCACCACGACGGTGCCACCAGCTGGGACGATGCCACCCCTGGGGTCATTTCCGACTACCACTGGACAGGTCGAATTCCAGGCGTACAGGAACCGGTCAAAACTCCACCCCGAATAGGGAATTTCTATGGGGAATGGTGAGTACCCTCTGGTAATTTAACATAACTATGGAAAATCACCATTTTAAATAGGAAAATCCACTATAAATGGTCATTTTCAACAGCTATGTTAAATTACCAGAGGGTAAATCCATTTCTATGGAATCCATTTCTATGGAATCCGATGTTGGGAATCCGTGACTTTCGAAACCATTGGATTTTAACGGTGGCTTTCTCAACATTGCCAGACAAACCCATTGGCATTTCTCACAATCCCTTTTCATGGTTGCTGGGAACAGGGATTGCCACATGTATTAGGGTCCGTCAACGATCCCTGATAAAGATCATCGACCACCCACGATTTATCGATTCTACCGTAAACATTTGTTTCATGATTGCAAATTGTTCAATCCCTATGATTGCTAAATCTGATTAAATTCTTTTGAATTAGGTGATTAATCCTCCCCATTGTTCATTGGCAAAACATGTTAACACCAAATTGATCATGGTTAAAACATGTTTAGGCCAAATTGTTCGCTGTGAAGCCATTGCGAAACCGTGTCAAAACCATGTGAAAACCCCATTGTTCATTGCTAAACCTTGTCCAAATTTGTTTTTTTTCCATGGTTAAGACATGTTAAGACCATGTTAAAACCATGTTCAAACCATATTTTTCAACATCGAAACCATCATCTTTTGAACTCCAAAGCACCGTTCCGGCTTCGCCAAGGCACGCTGCCAGGCACCGAGGGCACACTTCCGGGCGGCATCAATGGCAGGGCCCTGGAGATTGATGGATTTCCCATGGTTTACCATTGGTGAATCCCTACCATTGATCCATTGATAGATCATGATATCTGGGAAAAATTAGAAGTCACTTATTGGTGAATACTATTGGAATAAGATCCAGTACCTTGCTGAATCCCTCAGGAAAAAATATGAGTCACTGATCTGAAAAAGTTCAGGCTGAGCTATTGTTGGCGATTGGGATGATTCCCCGCTAGCCGCATGGTTTCACTGAGGTGGCAGTGAGGTCGTGATCAAATTCACCCAGATTTATGGAGTTCGGGAAGTTTCAGCCCTTCAGACATCGGATTGAAGGGGCAATTTTATGCTTGAAAAAGGTTGAGAACGTATAGTGTTTCCACTCCAAATTTCCAGAGCTGTCCATGCTGACTTTTCCTTCAATTCTGGTAGTTCTGGAGGGGCAAGTTGGTTTACAACTAGGTGAACGATTGGATTTATGGCGGCTAGTTACAGTTGGATTGGTTTATAAACCAGTTTAAAACAGCGGAAGGGGCTCATCCTGACACCATCTGCAGGCTATATATCTGGACGTTGTTGTTGTTGGTATCGGACGTCAACCTGCTCCTCACGGAAGTGAAGTAGTTAAGACGCCATAAATCCCAAAGTCGGGAGATCAAGCCCTCAAATCCAACAGAGCGTTCCAAAAACGCTTCGTGTTGGCCACCTGACAATGGAACGCATGGATGGACCATGCCACAGCCTCTGAGTGTTTCGCCAAGGTCGCATCAAAAGCATCTTTGAAATGACCAGTCACCGACACCGCAGCTTCATCAGCCCGAGCGTTGAGCTCACGGCATGTGGCTGCTGATAAACCAGGAGGAGGTTGCCAATTTGCCCGTTTCCCATGCGACGGCACCCAAAAAATCGAAGAACCCGGGACAACCAAGTTTCGAATCAAATGCCAAAAAGGAGATAAATCGCCAGCCCAGTAATCCGATGCAATGCCTCGAGAAAACCGGAGATAAACAGCTTCGTTGTCACACAAAATCAGAATAGGTTTATTAGCTGCCTTGGCAGCCAAACAAGCATGTAATAAAGCCGTTCTTTCACCTGCATGCGGGGTCTGCTCGACCCCTAAAACCAGTCCACAAAAAGTAGCACCATCGGAAGACGCAATGCCCCAGCTAGCCCGTTGCCAGAAATCGCGGCCGGGAGGAGCCTGGAGACAACTGCCATCAATAGCCAAAACTGGGATTGGTGAAGAGCTGTTGTAAATGCAGTCAACCAAACCCGCGTCAGCGCAAGCAGAAGCAAAAAGATTGAAAGGTGCCTGAGGCACCAACGCCACCAAGAGTCTTCGTTCATCCAACGTACGCAAAGGCAAGGACCAGCGATGAGAAGGACAATAAAACGTGAGATGCTCTCTGGATGGAACCTCTTCACCACAATGACATGGTAAGGGGGGACCCAACCTCCCAAGCAACCTAGCATCCACGGCTGCGCCAGTTACAACCCGGCGCTCGTAAGTATCAAGTTCACCCACAGCATGTTGCTGAAAATGCAAAAGAGGAGTGAAATCACCTAGCTGCACTGAAGTTTTGGAGTCTTCATTCCACAAATTGCGGAGCCACGCTTGCTTGGCGATCTTGACAAAATGTTTTGAAGAGCACCAGCCCACTGGGCAAGATCCTTCAGGTGTAGTCCAGATGCCATCTGCAGAAATCGACCAGTTCCAAGCCTGTAGCACAGAATCCACCCTGGGCCCGCGCTTGCCGACCACTGGCTCACCACACTTCAAGCGACATTGCCGCCGCCACTCAGCCTTGATAGTAGAAAACTGGAGCGCAAAAAGAGGATGAATCTCAGGAGTGCCCAGAGAGTTCCAAAAAAGAAAACGCGACCGACCTGAAGCAGGCTGCTTTCCCCACACCGCTGTTTCAATTAGCATGGACCAATGATTAAGCACCGCTTTTGTGTATCTGTGCCAAGATCCAGTCCACGCAAATAACGACACCACAAGTTGCCGGAGCAAAATCCGTCTCGCGAACAAGCTTCGAGCAGCCAACCGAATTTTCCGAGTTCTTTCTCGAATTACCTGAGTCAAAGAAGCAGCATCCACGCACATACCCTGGCGGAAGAGGTTGTAGTGAATTCCAAGCAAAGTGAAAGTAGAGGAAGGAGACCCTAAAACACTTTCAACTTGCTGCAAGCCGGCCAACATACTTTTCTTCGTTGTGAAGCACGAAGTTTTGTGGGGGTGGAGTTGCCAACCCAGACAGGAGTCGATGAAACTACCAGCTTCCATTGCATTGGTGACAACCGTGATGGCTTTGGCCCCAACGCTCCACAAAGTTCTGTCATCCAGAAAAATGGCACTTCTGATTTGAGGAACCTGAGTTTTGACATAGCGCAACCACAGTGTCATTAACCCGTTCAGAAGCGCCGGGGAAGCGGGACACCCCTGAAGGAGCCCGCGAGAAGCTGATACAGGTTCAGGGTGAAAGAAACCATGCCATGAGAACCAACGGAGCTGACCTGAATAGAAAGCTGAAATCACATTCACAAGTTGACTGGGAGCGCCCAGCCATTTCCAGACTTCTAAAGCCGCCGCCACGCACACAGAGTCAAAACATTTCTGAATATCTGCCTTGCATCCCACTACTGTTTGATTTCGCCTTTTCGCATCAGCGATCTCAAAATGAAGCAGGTCATGAACGTCGCCGATTCCTTTTGCAGGTAAGCCACCAAAAAGATCTGAATCTGCCCAGCTTTTGATCCAGGGACGCAACTTGCGAAGAGAAGCGCTCATACAAATTCGCCAAAGAACTGAAGCTACAGCCAAAGGACGAACACCGCCAGAGCTTTTTGGCATGAGCGCAATACGCACATGCTTCCACCCAACTGGGACAACGCCTTTGTTGCAGCAAACTGTCCACAAATCCGCCACCACGTTCCAAAATGGACTCGGTAAAAGGGACAAATTGTCAGCAGTCCAACCATCGATGCCAGAAGCCTTTGCACGGGCCTTTTTAGCAACATCTAAAAGGTCGGAGCCAGAAAAGGAGAGACAATCTTCATTCGCAACCGTTGCAGATGGGCCCAAAAGACCACAAATATCACGCACTTGCTGCAGGTCAGGAAGGGACGCAGGATTCCACCACTCTTTCCAAAAAGCTGCCTCCTTGCCTGCTAAACTTTCAGGGTGTGGAGAAGAAGACAAATCCTCAGCGACCTGAGGTTGGGGTGGGGTACGTTGCACCCATTTGCCTAATTTGACCACATCATCCTGCATTGTCGCCTTCCAAGCTTGAACACGACGACGAGAAGCTTGTTGCGCCTCAATGTCTGCCAATTGCACAGCTGCAGCCAGAAGGGCTGGGTCTCTAATGTCAAAGCTACCCAAATGAGCATCTAAAACCATGGCATCCCTGCGAATTTTCATAGCCAGCGTTTTGTCACACTGCGTCTGAAACTCATTGACCCGTCTGGCAAAACGCCGAAGTCGACGTTCGCGAAGTGTCTGAAAAGACGGCGCTTTGGTCGAAGGTGGGCTTGCAATTTGTTGCGGACCCTGTCTGTCAGCTCGACCCGTCTTGCCAGTAGTTCCTAGGAGTACTTCCACGCAGTTGCTGAGAAGCCGCCACGCCAAATCAACATTGCCATCAGTTAAAGCACCACAAAACGAAGGTTGCACACCATCCCACTGTCTGATCCAAGCATCCAAAGAAACCGCAGAAGAAGATAAAGTAGGACAAGGAGGTAACTTCCAAGGATGAGAATCAGCACCATCAATAAGAATGTCATAGGAAACTCCATCATGGTCAGCTAAACCAACAAATTGAGATCTACCGCAAATAATCACACCAGGAGACGCTAAACCAAAATCAATGACCCTGCCAGTGTACTGACCTTTGAAATTGCGAACA